AGCTTAAGGTATGAAGTGTGTTCAGCGGCATCACACCTCGAATCCTAGGCCCACCAATTTGCACCTCAACATGCTAACCACTAAGCTGTGACGCGTTCCTTTGAAATAGATTAGAATTTATATAAGACTTCTTCACCACCTTATAAAATATAGGCATCAAGAGAAATATTATCTTTACATAATATTGTTACGACAGCAGAAGTCACGCGCTGGAGTTTCTAGAAGGATCATGAATTTTCCTGGCAACTCTAGTTTGTTCGAGGCGCCCTATTTTTTCTAGTACATGACCCTGGCAAAGAAAGCCAGCGAGATGGGCAGATAGATTGAAGAGATATAGATAGATTGAAGAGATAAATAATTGGGTCAAGCGAACAGTAGGCGCCGTAAGTAAAGTGTGTGAATCACTGTGATTTATAGCGTGTGTTATAAAGGTTGTTATGTTTAAAGTGGCCCCCCAGTGGTACAGCGGAATGTCTGCGGACTTACAATGTTAGAAACCGGGTTTCGATACCCGTGGTGGGCAGAGCACAGATAGCCCTTGTGTAACTTTGTGCATAATAAAAAACAAACAAGTTTAAAGTAACTGTGGAAATTCTGTGTACTAAAAATTTGTATCAAGAAAGAATAAACTAGTTTTAATGAAGAAAGATCTTGTATCGCTGAAATTTCTCGGAAAGAATTTATAACGGAAATTAACAAATGAGCAGATACGTAACAATATTAACATCCACTTTTAGGTTTTTCTCTAATGTCACTAATACATATTATTATTGTTAATAATATGTTAATAATAATAATACATATTATTAACATCCACTTTTAGGTTTTGCTCTAACGCCGCTAATATATTTTTATTTTTTGAAATAATCGACGAGTTCTATTTATAATCGTATTTGTTTTTGTTTTGTCATTTTAGTCCAATATAAAATGTAAATTGAATACATACTTATGAACCGTGAGTCGGCTCGCCAACAATTTATAATATGCATTTAATATCTTTACCGCTAGGTGGCTATTTAGGCCTCGTTCAGATAGTAGTACATGATGGAAATCGCTTTATAAAGATAAATCGGCTGCTCGCGTAATCACACAGACTACAGCTTTGTTCGAAAGTTGATGTGTTAACTGTTGTGCAAGGATGACAAAAAACCTTTCGTGTGAGCTTACTAAGCTGTTTAGTGAGTTTAATAAAAACTGTAAATATCTAAAACGATTATTTAAGGAAACCAAGTATTCTCAAGACGAAATAGAAAAAAGTGGTTATTTTGATAACTGTGAGTTACAAGTTTATTTTAGCTTATTTTTAATTAGTATTAGTTCTCATTTTTTAAAATTTATTGAAAACAATTATTTCAGTCATTTATTAAGCTAGAGTTGCATTAAACGTTTTTACTACATTAAAAAAAAATATTACCAAATGTTTGTTTCTTTATTTGTTGTTAAGCACAAAACTACACAATGGGCTATCTATGCTGTGCCCAACCCAGTTTTTAGCGTTATAAGCCTTATTTATAAATATGCAAATACAGTATAATCGCTGAAATAATTACAAATTTCATTTTTTTTCAGGTGAAGCAAAAAGTATTTTTTATATCGTAAAATAATATGTTTGTTTTAGAGCAAAGACACATTGGGCTACTAGCTGTGTCTACCGTGGGAATCAAACCCTGGATTTTAGCGTTGTAAATCTGTAAACTTACCGCTGTTCTATCGGGAGGCCAAATAATATTATTGTCAATTCAAAACAATTTAAATGTTAAGTTAGAATAATTGCCAAGCGGAGTAAACCAATATTACATTATTAGTACATTAACACCTAAGTTTGTTGCTGTTTCTTCTTGGGACATAGATTATCGATTTTGTATGAATATTTGTTTGTTTGTTTGTTTATCAATATTCGCGCAAAAGCTATTTGAAGGTACCTGCCCTAGTCTCCCTTAATGTTGAACAGATGGGCTAGACGGAAGTCAGCTGACCATATCATTCACTGCCAACTCTTGGGCTACTCTTGTCTAAAAGAATTGTGGGATTTGACCGTCACTTTTATTACGCACCCACAACCTCAAAGTACGTAAAGCGATATTTTTTTTTGGGGGGGGGAGCGATGTCAGTGGACCTGCAGATCCAAATTCCTGCATGCTAGTCACTGGTCACACTCGGCCCAAAATATTAATCGTTTTTTGTTATCAGGAGCTCTACGAAATTATTGTATTGTAAAATTATTTCAAACGTTTGAAAATTGTATTTTGGGGTTTTAACCATTATTTTGTTAAATATTTTGATATTATCAAAATTATGGGTGATTAATTAAAAGATTGCAAAATTTGATCCCTATTTCTAATGCAAAACGATGGAGGAATGATTCGAGGTACTATTGGCCCATTAGTGTGACTTTTGTTGTTTAGCAGGATCTTAGAACTGTTCTCATGTGTTGTTTATAAAAGCAA